AGTTGGTTGGAATATTGAAGGAAAGCCTCCAGATGAGTTTTATTTTATAAATAATTCAATAATAAGGATCCTGGAATGGCATTAGGTCATAGTGAACAAAAAATTTAATATAATATAAAATTACTTTTATGGTTCTAGTGCATATTTGATAAAAGGGTTGGAGAAATTAATTATAAACATATATATTATTAATAGATGGCCCGCATCATATTTTACAATGTTTTATTTATTATTGATATATTTAAGATTATATAAATAAATTATTTCTAGAAAATTTTATATAGATTTTTGTCATTCAAATAACTAACTAAATTATTATTAATTATAAAAAAAAACAAATATTAAATAATTATTACATATTAGTGAAATTCTCCTTCGATCATCCTCTTCTTTCAATTTCACCTGGCCATAAACCCAATCCAACATAATCATCTATTATTTCTTTAAGGCTTGCTTGCGTGACTTCTGGAAATTCATAATTAAATTGTGTTTCATCACAAATTTTTCTACCATCAACTGACAAATCGTTATTATATAAAATTTCTTTGTCTAAATAAGGAGTAAGTGGTGTATTATTAATTTTATTTTCTCTTGTGAGATCTGTCCATGGTTTCATGTGTTTTTCATTGCTTACATCAACTGCTTCATCAAGAGCTTTCTATTAGAGCAAATATAATATAAATACGTATTAATAATTACTATTAATTATTAAAACAGTTTTTAATAAATTATAAAAAAATAAACCTCAGCCGCGTATGAAGTTAATTGTTTATGGAAACCAGTTGTGATATTAAACAATGTACTGATCATGTTATTAATTTTTTCTTGATCTAATAGAAATGAATAGCTAAATGATTAATAAACTAAATAATGATCGACTAATTGACTAATTAATTAGTAAAAAAAACAACTGACTAACCTGTATCCCCAGGATCAGCTAAATTGTAAATTAAAGGACCTTTATCAGCTTTATGATTTACTTGATACCATTCAGCGATATACCACATGGCACGAGAAACATCATGTACATGAACAGTATTAACTTTCAACCTTTCACTCCATAAAAATTTCATTTCTTCATTGATATACTGATAAATCCTGCCACATACAAGACGAGGCACTGAAAGTAATATAAGGGGTATGATAAATACAGTGTTAGAAATGATATAGATAATACAGAAACAATATATTAATCAATAAACAACTACCTAAACCCATTGTTGCACTTAATCCATAAACCGTAGCAGGTCTTAAAATCACAAGGTTAAGACTAATAATAATAATAATAATAATAAAAGCACAAAGTTGTAAAATCATTATCAACTATTACCATAATAGCAAACAATAACAATAACGTATTTATTATGATTAAAGAATAAAAAAAAACTAACCCTTGAATTTTTTTTAATTCTTCTTCTGCTTTATATTTATATTTGGCAACAGTTGTCCAAGGTTCTATTTTCGCATCTTCTTTACTTGGTTCCTTGTTACTTTTATAAATTTGAGCTGTTGAAAGTTCAACAAAAACTTTAACTTGACGTCTAGCTGCTTCTTTTGCATTACGAACTGACAAATTAAATATACGCTCTTCATAAACCTATTTAATTCATACATAGATACATATAATGTAAGATGATTTATTGATTTATTTGTTGATAATAATCAAAATTGTTTGATTCCATGATTTTACCGTAATATTTTGTGAATATTTTGTTTCTGCTGCCAAATTAAATACATAATCAAATGTGCTACCATCTTTTCGTTCAAACATTGCTTTAATATTATCTGATCAATAATATAATAATTAATATGATTAGAGGATAAACAATTCATCTTTGATTTTTTTTTTTTTTTAGTAATTAAAACACACATACTTGGATCAACCAAATCTTTTTGATAAACGTCAACTTTTCCAAATGCTTCTTTTTGTTTCTTGTTTAAAGGAACAGTTTCCAACAATAGCTTATCCACAACTCTTATTTCGGAAGCAAGTTCATTCTCTACCAAATATTGAATGAAATTTTTACCAATAAAACCTAAACCACCAAGAACAAGTACTGTCGGTTTAGTCGACATTTTTATTTATTTATATAATATATATCTAAATATATAATATTCTTTTGGAGTTGTGAAGGAATGTAAGAGTTTGTATTAATTAATATCTTTTTTTTAAAAAATTTTTGGTGAATAAATTTTAATGAAAATGTTTTAAAAAAAATAAAAAAAACAAAAGGGGAAATTTATATTTGAAATTTGAAATATGAGGCGGGCACATTAGTTCAACTTTTTAGTACCCGGATTACTATTGGTCGAAATTATAATGTATAATGATAGAAAACAATTGTTTCCAACAATTCATTTCTTTGTCGCCTTCATTAATAACAAGATCTATTTATTATTAAACTTCAAAAAAATTTAATTTTTCTATTAGCTACCAACTAAACGTTCGTATTCCTCTATAGGGCTGAAAGAAGCAAGTGAACGGATTCCTCCATCTTCGCCGTTAACTCGTACAATTTTTATTGTAAAACAAAATATCATTTGTCACCATCGCAGTCCACTATATATGCATATGTGCAGCCTAGTCAAGTGGTACCATAATTAAAGATTTACACGGATCAAAGAACCATCAAAAATGCAAAATGTTGAATTGTGTAATGTCATGGCAAAATGGAAAATAATGTTGTAATTCATTTGATGGTGTGATGCAATTTTTAAAATTCCACATTTTCTAACTGATGCTAAATTTTGGATTCAGAAAAAAATTTGGTATTATTATTATATAGTATTTTGCGAAAAGGAAAACAACTGCTCATCCATGTTGTTTTTGCATATGTGAGGTAGTACAGGTGCCCATTAATGATACAAAAGTTGCACGGATGGTGGCACTCAAAGAATATTCATTGATCACGAGTTGAATATAACATTGTTATTGATTAAATCTTATTAATAATCAAAATCCTATAAAAAATATTTGTGAGGAACGGGAAACTTTAAAAATATACTGAATACATAATTACAATGCGGGTCACACTAACCTATCAAATAAAAATTGATCAAACTTTAAAGCTGGATAGGGAGATATTGAATGCTTATCTGAAAAAAATAGAGACGATATTTGATTAATTAGTTCTATGATCCATCGTCGAGATAAACACTGGTTTCAGGGTTATTTACTTTAAAGTCATGTGGTTTTATATATGTTTTTATATGTTACATGTAAAATTTTAAAGTTATCTAAAATTTTTAAAAGTTAATAAACTCTGGAATTAATAAATATCTCAACGATGGATTGTAGAACTAGTCAATAGCTATCAAATATCGTCTCTATTTTTTCAGATAAGCATTCATATTTCCATATCTAGTTAGTTTTAAAGTTATTTGATGTGTTAGAGTTGACCAGAACCGTATATTTTAGTTTTATAATAATAATAATAAGAATTTCTGTATATATTTTGTACGGAATCTTAAAATTTGAAAACTGTTTGTAGGGAGCGTTGCAAGACAGAGTGAGCAGAGAATTCTTCTATCATCGTTTTACACTAATTATATTAAAAAAGTCACTGATGTTTTATTACTTGTTCCGATTGCTTTTCGAGAAGACTTTATAAGATGTCTCGTGTGTGTGTGTGTTTAGATGCATGTATGCTGACAGCTCTCATAAAAATATACGTAGAAGCATGATTTAAATTCAATTACCGCGCTTAAAAATAATCACGTGACGTAACTATGACCGAATATGGGGTTTTATTTTAACTTTTATAATGCCTTGTCCATTTAAGTATAAAATTCAGTCAAGAATGCAAGATAATTAATTAAAAAAAGGTTAATTATTTATTAAATAATAAAGTTCAAATTGATAATCAATTTGGTGATGAAAGTCAAATAATTATTATAATAAAGTGAAGAACATGATTCAAGTAATTAAGGCGATAATGAAGACGGCGGATTAATAATGATTTAGAAAAGAACTATCCAATTCATTCAATTTACAAATATAGCTGCTTTGAAAACTAAACCATCATTTTATACCGGAAATGCAAAAATGACTTTATGTAATAAAAACATGTAAATAAAATTGCATACAGTCAAAAAATTACATTGCTTCGCTAAATAATTATTTCTAGTAATGTATCTTCTATTTAGAAAGTACTGACTGATATTGTAGACAATCTGACCGTCGATGATGAAATTCCTGGTGAAAGACAGTAATAACAAATTTTCTTTGTCTATATTAGAAAATTTTATTAAGAAACGAACAAAGTATAGACTCAAGATCGCAATATACTGCCAACGTTTAAGACTTGTTAATAGAGAATGAATACAATGCTCGAAATTCAATCGGCGGAATCGGCGCGTGCTAGCATCAACTGCAGATTATTTCTGAAATCAGACTAGTTTATGTTAAGGCGAAGCTGAATTTCGAAGTGATGTTATTAATCCTGGGCTATATATATACAAGTACAAGATTAGAGTAAAATTAATTTCTTCAAGACAAGGTAAACATCAATAAGTTGAAGTTAATAATTGATGTAGATGTAATGCAAAAAATTACAGGATAAATAAATTTTAATGATTGTTAAAGATGAGATTCCCAGATTTCTTTATTATTATTATTATGAAATGAGTAAATCTAATCAATTATAGAAAAGAATTCCTGGGAAAAAATGGGTGAATGCCGAATTTTTGTGATTCCGAATTAAAAAATTACCCATGATGCCAACAATGGCAAAGAAAAGTTATGATTGCCACCCCCAAATTTCTTTTTCTTTCATAGATCAATCAAATCAATCAATTAAAAATTTTTGGTGGCGCGTCTTCATCATTTCTAAGCCACATAATTATAACATTGTCATACAAACATAAAATCATGGGTTTTTTAAAATAAAACTTGATCTTTATGGTGTTACAGTTGAAGATTATTAAATTATTTAAATTATTATTCCTTCTTTTTTAGAATTTTTTAGAATCTTTTAGAATACAGCAGGATCGAGATTAAAATGGATTTTGCAGCTAGAAATGCTGTTAATTTAAGTGTATTAAAACGACACGACGAATACATTGTTGAAATTATTGACACTTCTAGTCATGTTGTAGTTTATTTATTTGATCGTGACCAATCTACATGGGTATTTATAAATTACATTTAGATGTTAGTACGGATTATTTTGTTCTAATATTAGTTAATTAGGACAATTTTTTTTTTAGACAAAGAAAGGTGTAGAAGGAACAATGTTTGTTTTTAAAAGGTTGTTTTTATCATCATCATCATCATCATCATCCATCATAAATTATATTCTTATGTGAAATTTTCCAATAGATCCATACAACCAGTTTTTGGATTTATAGTGATGAATCGACTTGGCCTTGACAATTTCATGGCACCTCTAGTAGACAATATGGATCTAGAATTTAAAGACGAATATATAATATATCGTACAGATGATGGTATAGTTGAAAGAATTTGATATTTTAAATCTAGTCAGTGATTTTTTTTATTCATTATTAAAAACACAAATAAAAAAAAAGTGGCCAATTCTGTGGTAATTAAGTATAATTTGGATGCCAGATGTTATCCATGGAATTTGGATCTTTGAACCAAAAGATCGAGATCGTATAGGAAAATCTATGAAGAAGTACAGATAATTTATTAATTATATGACTATATATATATATATGTGCATGTATGATGTATACACACTTATACAATAATTATATTGTTTATTGGTATAATTAATAGATGTCGCGAGTTATCATTGATAATAACGCTCCCGCCTCAACTTTCTCTAAATTCTTCTTCCAAGACGACAATTACGACCTCAAAGAATCAAAAAACGTCTGAAAATCAAGTCGACATAATTAACCTTTTACAAAAAGCCGAAATAAAAGAAAACAATGATCATTACATATTAACGAATACACCTTTATATAATACTACTACTTCTAATACTATTGCTAATAATGCTGGATCTTCATCGTCAACAACATCATCCACATTTTCTTATAAGCCAATATCTATTTCAAATGATCGTCATTCGAAAGATTTACTTGAATTATTTAATATTAAAACGCCACCACCACCAAAAAGAAACATAATAGATGATCTTCCACGAAGATATCATACTCCTCCAGCAATAACTGTAAGATATTAAATAAATATGTATTTCTTTATATTCAATTATTTACACTTTACATTTACATTTCATCCACCCACTAATCCATCCATCCATCCACCCAATCGTAAATTAGAATGTATCAACAACACCTCAAAATGTTCTCGATGGAAAACTATTATTAGAGTTACTTCATCAACCTACTACAACAAATCCTCATTCTCGTTCTAATTCAAATTCTCATTCGAATCTCAATCATCAACTACCGCTATCATCATCATCTACTTCTTCATCTGCTTCATCTTCATTGTCAACCACTAATGGTACAACTAAATTATCATCAAACCCAACAACCTCCTCAACTAATACTTATTTCAACTATCAACAACAACGTTCTTTATCTCCACAGAATAATAATTTCTCGTCGGTGCCAGTCAAATCAATGTTATCTTCTTCTTCCATTCAACTCAGAAATGCACCTAGGGCACCCGGACTTTCATCTGCACCTTCCACCACTGCACAATCACCAGTAAATCATAATAATATTATTATCAATAATATTAATTATAATCCAGAATCATTACTACTAACTAACGTAAAGAATCCTAATAATTTATCCAGCAATAAAAATGTCATTATTAATGATAGTATTAGTAATAATAATAATAATAGTAGTAGCAGTAGTAGTAATGATGGATTGAAACGTAATCTAGCTTTAGATATCTCAATTCCAACACTTAACAAATTTATTAATGAATACGATTCAAATGGAATTAATAACATAAGAAAAAGAATTTTGACTAAACAAGAATTTGTGCAACAATATCTTCAATTAATTCAGGTAATATTCATACATTGTTTTTTATTATAAAATAATGTTTTAATTTAATAATAATCTTTTCTTTCCAATCATGATATTAATTAACTATTAATAATTAGAGAGATCCATCCTTTATGGATATTCTTTATCAAAATTACGTGGTAAAATTTCAAAATACTTGATCTATTCGCAGCAAATAAAAATAAATCTTTATATATAACGATTAGATTAATATAATTACTAGTGTTATTTTTGTTTCTTTAACATTTTACTTTATATAGTAATTATAATTTTATAATAGCAATGATGATGGAGATTAAATTTTTTAAAGAGATTGTTTTTTGTTAATAATTTATACACTTTATATATTTTTGTGCTTTAATCTTAAATCTAAATTTTTCTATTGTTCAGTTCTTTCTAAAAGTTCTAACCCTAATCTCAATCACAAACCCAATGAATAGTTATTATAAATATAAATATGAAAAATGAAATCTATTAATAATTTTGATGAATAAAATATACATGAATTAAAAAAATAAAATAAAATTTAAATCTATCATCTAATAAATGCTCTATTTTTTTTTTTTTGTTTTTAAAAAAATCAAAAAGTTTTTCTAAAAAAAATTTACTTGCCACCAATAATGATAATAATAACAATGATGATGATATGATTAATGAAATTTTTGTTCAAGTGGTTGAATTATACGTTTAGGAAAGCGAACACTAAATAAATAATCATGTCGTCTATACCAGCAACAATTAATGAATATATTATTATTATTCCTCTTGTTATTGTTACATTATATATAATGATAATTAATATTTTTCCTTACTTTTCAAGAATAATTTCATGTGTCTTCATATCAATTCTAACTGGTAGTTCACGAACCCTATCATCAAACATTACGTGAAATCCACGTTCCGACAATACATCCATTATCATGTCAACTAAATGTTGATCTTCAAATTCATGAGATGTTCTATAAGATATTTGTATATTTATTTATCTTATTATTTTTAAAAGAGAAAGGATTATATGATATTAATATTAGTATTTTACATACGTTCTAATAAGTGCTTGTCCACTAATTGCGTGCCTTTGAACCATTGGTATAACTTGCTTATCAATGAATTTAATTGCCCTTTTAAATAATTCAGCCTCATACTCCTCATAATGTTCTAGACGACTTATTAATTCCTGCCTAGCATGTATACTAATTTTTGTTGCAAGTGGAATGTGTGCAATTGCGTCATATGTTCTATGATCTATAATATATTTATATAAAAATATTTCATATCAGAGGAAATATTAATAAATGAGTGTGTGCATGCTTGTATTATATTGATGCATAAATATAACTGACCTAATTCAAGCGAGCTTTGGTATTCGAATTCCCTCAAGATCACGTGCATCACTTCGTCAATTGTACCAACTGCATTAATCAGATCTAAAGAATCATAATAAAAACCATCGATAATAATGTTAAGTTAGAATGTGACATACTTGATCAATTAAATTATTTTTAAAAAACTTACGAAATGGAAAGATCTCGCGAAGTCTTAATAATGCGCCATAATGTTTCTTGAAGATTTTATACCGAGAGCGAATCAACTATAATGATATTATTATGATTGTATTTTAAATCATCTATAATTTAACATCATCATCATTACCACCAAACACTACTACTACAATAACTTATCTACCTACCAACTCGTCAAAATCAGTTACACGTTCTTCCATCAATTGACCTTCCCCAGTTTGTCTGACTCGTTTATTATTATCACGGGTTTGCTTGCCTCTCATCAATTGTCTAGCGACTGATATATCTTCGTCAACATATAAAACACAAATTCTAAATGTTGGACGACTAAAAAAAATTTACGGAAATTGACAATATTAATCAATGTTATAATAATAATATGAATGATAATAATAATGTCGATAATTACGGGAATCGATCTCTCAAAGGTGTATCCCAGAATTCACGTCTCAATTCATGCATTTTGTCGTATAATAATTTTAAACATTCCACTTGGATCTCTGTTCGCGGAAATCCATCAATCAAACATCCAACAGTCGGATCACATTTAAGGAGTGCACGAAACAAGCTTTCAAGGACTTTTCCATCACCTGTTTATTTATTTATTATTTATTAATGTAAATTTTTTTATTTTTCCAATAAAAAAGAAATAATGAATCACATACTTATCATTTGTCCTTTATTGATTAAATCTAGACAATCTGGCGAACGTAAAAGCTCTGACATGCAAATTGAAGGATTTGTAATGCCACGAGCTTTCAAAATTGAATTTGTGTGTGTTCCCTTTCCACTACCGGGTGCTCCCATCAACCAGATGATTTCTCTTGGAAGGCTAATTTATTGTTGTTGATTAGCATTATTTAGAATTATTATATATAAAATAACAATTTGAATCATTACCAAATATTTTCACGCCCAAAGGTAGCTTCGACATTCCTCCACGATTGATTAAAAATTAATTTTGCATCTTTAATTTCGCCCATATTGTCACTTTAATTAAAAAAAATTTTTAATTAATGTACAAGTATGCAAACAGTTCGTGTGCAGTAAGTTGAACATACCGTTTCATTTTTTCCGTGATATCAGTAATGTGAGTTTCATCTTCAATCTCTGAAGTTATCTCATTTGCCGTTGTATTAGCTTTTTTGCTCGAGTGGTATTGTCGATTTTCTGAATAATATTCGGGAGATGTGGAGCGAAAATCCTCTGGAGTTTTCTTGTTGATGTTGGTGGTAGTTGTTGATATTGGTTGGTTTAAGTTGTTGAAGTTTGTGATCACAGATCCGCTATAATGACGAGTATAATTAAAAGTATTATTATTCTTGATGTTGTTGTCATTGTTGGGAAATAAAGGTTTATACGATGTTGAGTATGATTTAAGAAAAATAGATTTATGGGTGAGAGTATTAATTTTACTATTTGTCGAAATTTCTTTTTTAAAGAAAGTAGGAAGTTGCTTTAAAGATTTAAAGGAACGCATATTGTAAATTTAGTTGTAAATGGTTAGAAGTGATTAATGAATGGATGGATACATGTTTTTTTTTAAAAAAAGAGAATGAAGCATTTTATATAGTTATGCATTGTAAATAAAAAACTGAAACTAATCTAAATTTGGTTACCAAGAAGTTTTTTATTTCCATTGTTTTGGCAATAATAATAATAGAAAAAAATATATATGTACAAACCAATCAAGGAGAATGAATGAATTCATTAGTGGTTGCGTGTTACAATATTTTTGAACATTCCATTTTGGAAATTTTCAAAGCTCGGTCAATTGTTAGTTTAAGAAAAAGCTAGCCGATAAGTTTTAAAGTGCGAGTCATCAACAATAGAAATTTCTTGTTTTAGCTGACCATTTGTTATAAGCCGGTCGGTCATTTATTTGTTTGTACTTTAAACAATTGATTGCTGTGTCCGACTATTGTGTATAATAATAATAATAGTAATAGATGATCTGCGCCGTATGTTGTGAGAATTACCAAAAAAGCAACTATTTGTGCATTTTTTTTTTTTGAATTTTCTTTCGAAAAAAAAAATCATGATTAACAATCAAAAATTGATTAAATTGATCGTTCAGGAAGAAAAAGAAATTAATTATAATTACAATTATAATGTTACAAATAAAAGAATATATATAAATGTTGAGACTATGAGAGAAAATAAAATTTTCACAGGTGAAAATATATTAATTAAGAATAGTGAAGAGGGAAAAAAGGTAAGAAAAAGAATATAAAAAAAGAAGGATAATTAAATTAAATTTATAATTAATTAATTAATTAGTTTCTAGTAGGAATTGCATGGCCGTCATTTAAACTAGCAAAATCAAGCAAGTACCTAATTATAATTAATTTTTTTTCAAATAACAATAATAATATTATTATTATTAACAATAACTGTTGTTATTTAGATTTGCTGTTAAATAAATTACAATTATTAAATACAAATCTTAAAAATGGAGAAATTGCAATAATCAAAAAGATTGATTACAATAAAATTCATAAATCAAATAAAATAATATTAAATAACATCACAAACAGCAACAATAATAATAAAGTTGACGAATTATTGACAATATTTACTAAAGAAATTCTAAGTAAATATATTAATATATATATGTATGATCAAATTAATTTTATTTACTAATGTTATTTTTATAAATAATCAAAAGTAAATATTAGATATTTAATAAAAGGAAATTTAATAGAATTTCGATATCATGGAAATAATTTAAAATTTATTATAATTGAAATTATTACATCATCATCTTCACTTAACAAAAATAATAGTAATAAAGAAAGTGTTGGCGAGCCTAATGATGATTATAAGGAAGAAGAAGAAATAATTTATGAGGTCACAAGAGGAATAAATCTTACTATTTTATCAAATGTAATTTTAATATCTAAGTTTTTCTTTCAAAAATAAATATTAAAAATTTAGAGAAAAGGTCTATTTAATCAAACCATTTACACACAAACACACATATATATATATTATAGAATAATTCAAGTAGTAATAGTAATAATCATAATAATATTGATAAAATTGATAAAATTATTGGATATGATTCAATTGGTGGATTGGATAAAGAAATCAAGATTATTAAAGAAATTATCGAAAATGCATTCAACAATTATAATTTATTTAAAGAATTTGGTAAAATAATTTAATTGGTAATATTAGAATTGGAGTTTAGAGGGGAAAAAAGATTATAAATCATTTACAAAACTTTAAAATTTTAGGATTAAATCCACCAAAAGGAATACTTTTATATGGACCATCTGGTACTGGCAAAACATTGATATTTAATGCAGTGGCATCAGAAACAAATTCATACAAAATTTTCATAAATGGTCCTGAGGTTATTAGCAAATATTATGGTGAAACAGAATCAAAGGTGGACGAATTTAATTTAATTTAAATTTTGGGGAAACAATCTGGGAATTATTAATATAATTTTAAATATAATTTTTTATTTTAATTATTAATTTATCTACTTTCAAGTTGAAGAGTATTTTTGAAAAGGCATTGGAAAACTCACCTTCAATAATATTTATAGATGAAATTGATGCTTTATGTCCAAAAAGAGACCAAGTAATGTTAAAGACAATCATAATAATCATACATAACAAAAACAATAATACTTTATTAATTCAATCATATAAACTTCTTACTCATATTGCTTATATTATTATTATTATCATTATTATCAGGTTAATAATGAATCAAGTAAACGTGTGGTTGCCATGATGCTTACATTGATGGATGGTATATCAAACAAAGGTGATGATAAAAATGGTAAAGTGATTGTTATTGGTTCTACCAATCGGCCCAATTCGTTGGATGAGGCATTAAGAAGACCTGGAAGATTCGACAAAGAAATTGAAATTGGTAAGTCATTAATAAATTATGTTGAAAAATATAATATAATATTTGGAGAATATACAATTTACAATGCATGGATATTATTTTTCCTCCTTTTCCATAGGAATTCCCAATTCCCATTCAAGATCATTAATATTGCAAACTTTATTAAAAGATATTCCAAGCTCATTAACAATTGATGAAATTGAATCATTTTCATCAAAACTACATGGTTATGTTGGGGCGGATTTGTCCGCAATTTGTAGAGAAGCCGGATTAAAAGTTATAAAAAATAGAGTTAGGAATAATATTGATGGTGATAACGACGACGACAACAACAACAATGATAAAGAAGATGATATTAAGATTACATTAAAAGATTTAGAGGATGCAATGTTAAAAGTTAGACCAAGTGCAATGAGGGAAATAATATTAGAAATACCAAAAGTTTATTGGAAAGATGTTGGTGGACAAAATGAAATTAAACAAAAGCTAAAAGAGAGCATTGAATGGCCATTAAAGTATTCGGAGAAATTTAAAAATTTAGGTATCAAGCCACCAAAAGGCATATTAATGTATGGCCCACCTGGTTGTAGTAAAACATTAATGGCAAAAGCATTAGCAACTGAAGCAAATTTGAATTTCATAGCTGTTAAAGGTCCCGAGGTAATTTTAATGTGAATTTCAATGTGAATAGTAACAATAATATAATCATAAAAAAATAATATTGTTTGTATTTAGTTATTTAGTAAATGGGTTGGTGAATCAGAGAAAGCAGTCCGTGAAATATTTCGTAAAGCAAGAGCCGCATCACCATCCATTATATTTTTTGTTAGTATCAATTATTTAATTTTATAAGTTGATAAACCAATTGCTATTTATTTAATATTATATATATATATATATATATATTAGGATGAAATTGATGCTTTAACAGTTAAGCGTGGAATTGGTGAAGGTGGTGGTGGTGGTACATCAGTTGGTGATAGAGTATTATCACAATTGTTAAATGAAATGGATGGTATAGAGGTTTTAAATAATGTTACTATCGTGGCTGCTACAAATAGACCTGATATAATGGTAAAGAATTATAATTAATTAATAAATAAATAAAATAATGAATCTATATAATTATCCTTAATAATTTTATTATTTATTAGGATAGTGCTTTGCTAAGACCAGGTCGTATAGATAGAATATTATATGTTGGATTACCTGATTTTTTATCACGAAAAGAAATATTTAATATACAATTAAATAAAATGTCACATTCAAATGATGTCGATGTTGACGAATTAGCAAATCGAGTAATTATCATATTTATATTATCATAAATATTATTTATAAATAATTAATTGAATTTTTCTTTTTTGTTACAAAGACTGAAGGATGTTCAGGTGCAGAAATTGTTTCTTTGTGTCAAGAATCAGCTTTAAATGCCATGGAAGAAGATATTAATATAACTCAAGTAAGTATGCACATATATATTAACACTTGCACATATATACACATATATATATATATATATATATATATACTCATTTTATAATATTTATTTATTCAGGTGTGTCGTAGACATTTTGTTAGAGCTTTAAATAATTTATCAAAACGCATTACACCTGAAATGATTGAATTCTATGAAACTTTTGCTAAAAAATCCAAATTAAAACTTATCTGAATTATAATGTATGTATTTTAATTGTTAAATAAATAATTTGTCCAAAAAAAAAAAATTTTTTTTTCTTCATTATAAGTTAATTGTTATTAATATACATATTATTGTTAATAAATTTGTTATTTTAAAAATCCTACATCTTGATATTTTTTTAATAACTGTCTCTCCAAAGAAGAAAATTCTTTGTTTCTAAATTCCAATTTAAAAGGTCTGGGACCTTTCCAATTGCTCATTAAAAATTCCATTGAACCATCGGAAAAAACAACCTTATGTGAAAACACTATAGTGTTTAAATTTTTTGGCAAAGTTTGACTTAAAACCGTAAAAATCTTATCACCATCAAATGTACAATCCCCATTAAATCCTTTCAATTTAATTAATTTTAATTTTTCACAATTATTAAATATTTCAATCAAATGATTTGCATCATTCTTGAAAAATATAGATAAATTTTCTAAATTTTGACAATTTTGACCAATTGATTCAATCAGTCCTACTAAATATTCTTTATCTGTTGGTTTACCATTAACTTTCAAAACCTTAAGACTCTTTCCGTTTATTTTTATGAAATCCAACAAATTTAATAAAAATGGCTGATTATAAAGTTCTATCTCTACGCTCTCAATATTGGGGAATGAGATGGAATTTATATCTTTTATTTTGTTGCCACTTGAATTTCTATAATAATTTGTTAATGATAAAGCTTTCAAATTTTTAAACGTTGGTATTAAAGAATCCAAATTATTGTTTCCATAACTATTATAATAAAATATCGAGTCTGAATGAATTGAGATTGCGTTTTTGAAATCGGCTGATAAAATTAAATTAAGATTGTATGAACTAATAATTAATTGCTTGATCTTATTTTGTGCTTTGATTAGCTGAGCTAGATTATAATCAATATTGTTATTATAAGAACAATAACCATCATATTCTATTTCTAAAACTTGGATATTTTTACAAGTTTTTGCTAATTTATCAATATATTCAGAGCTATTAGAAAAACGACATATCACTTCATATAGATTTTGAAAACAAGTATCAAATCTACAATGATTGACCAGCCATTTGCACTCCAAATTGGTAGTTCTGAATTTTCTGATTTTTGAATGATCTAGAATGAATTTTACCAATCTTTCTTTTAAACAATTAATTTTAACAAACATTGGATCGATTAGTATCTGATGCAAATTTTCATTGCACTGGATAAAATCTAATTCTGTGGTAAACTCTATATAATTGTGTAATGGTGGTTTCTCCAGTAGATCGAAAATTAATTTAATCTTGTTTTCCTTTAAGAAATTCTCGTCTTCTAATAATAAACAATTGATTATTATTTTTCCACTATCTACAGAGTAAAATGGATTTCTCCATAAAATTGGAACATTAAGGATGTGCCATTGTTTATTAACAAGAATGCAAGAATGGAGTGTTTTATAATCATCTTCAATGTGTTTAAATATTTCAGATAAAATTTCTGATGGCAAATAAAGCATTATTTTTTATTTTTGTAGCAATGAATGAAATAAAGGAAAAATTGTTGATTTGTTTTTTTTTTTAAATAGAATTGCGCCAATGTTACACATAATTGTCATAAATTCGCGCATAAAATAGGCCGATAATGAAAAATTTTCAAAGTCTTGATGCTTTTTTATTTTGACTCTAAAATGCAAATTAGACTTATCAAAGAACATCGCAAAATTTCTAATAATTTAAAAAAATTTGGTATTAATTTGATTAATTTATTTTTTATCTTTTTTTATATGGGACACGCATTTAAAATTAATTAATTGCACGAAAACGTACTTGATAATAATTAAATAAACCACTTTCGGCTTAGGTTCATCCAAATTATATGCGCATAATTTTCATTTCCCCTAACATTTTTATCGATCAAAATTTCTTTGTCATCAAAATTGGCCACCAAAGAAATTTTTCAATTGTCAGAAAACGCACATAATAATAATAATAATAATCAATAAATAAATTAATAAAGAATACATGCCATGAACCCAATATTTTGTTGACCATACATTATTTTCAATTACTGCTTCGATTCTCTTCGGCATACTTTCAATCTGTTTTATTAATATTAGGACATCTTTTGAAATTTTGCTCCATTCTTCTTGCAATGCAGACTCCAACTAGATAATATCTTTCGGACTTCTTCTAATTCTTCTTTCCAACTCTGACCACAGATGCTCAATTGGACTCAAGTCAGGTGACTGGCTTGACCAATTAGACAAAACATTAATCTCATTTGCTATTTTCTACAATACGTTTCTCCAACGGGGAGTTTTCCCGACAACTCACTCACTCACTCATTCCATTAACTAAACTGACTTAATCAGCTTAGCCGGTTAATAAATGGTTTAACAGATTAATCGTATAATAAATAGATTAACCGGCTAATAAATGACTTAACAGATCAGCCAACTAACATCATCAGATATATATCATTCTTAATACTAACGGACAATGATAATGACGATATAGTCATGGAAGGAAAATTATGATAAACTGATAGACTGCAATAATCCATCTGGTATTCTATGTGATATATTAATATCGGATGTTCAAAAAATCGTGCCATTTTTTCATCGGCAAGAGGATCAGCCCCATCATAATCACCATTATTAATTTCTTCCAATTCTATTACTATCATTCTGGTATGCAATATATCACGTAAATAATTCTCTATTACTATTACTATTTCTTGATAAAATCGGTTTATGATACATATTTCATTGTATAATGAATTTGCTTTATATTCCTTTTTGTCTCTTGTCTTTATGACTACAATAGATTCACACAATAACATTGCAATAACCTTTTTATCATAAAGAATGAGTAAATCTACTGCATCTGGTTGTGTGTCTTTTACAAATTCCTCAAATCTAGAAGACCATAAATATGTATTTTGTTGAGAATTATTAGGTTTTGCAATAATAACATATTTTTGTAAAATCTTTATCCAAGGACTTCCATATGTTTCTTTAGAAACGAATGATTTTTGAAAGTTATTTGTGTATTTCGGAAAGTCAAGCATTTTCTAAATGAGTTAGTTGATTTTTCTTTTAATGCATCTATAATAACGATAGTATTTCAATAATTCTAAGGCTGTTTTAAAACTAGCCGTTTTAAAACGAGAGGAATTCCTAAATTATAAATTTGGGTGTTTTTATATTTGTGGGAATAAGCTATAAATAAGCTACAATGGACTTTATGACTATGGACATAATCAATACGAATAGATAACTATGATGATATCAGGAAAAAGAGAAGAGAGATGTCAATAAATGCAAGGATGTTAATTTTGTATGTATTATGGAATTCATATGGTATATTTTTTTCTATCAAGAACAACCTTAAATGAATAAACAGAGAACCTTGCCTTTAGGAGTAGAGAGAGGCAGAAATTAATGCAAAATTATTTTTACAAATAATTCGTTCTATAATAAATAATATCACAAATTCAATAACAAATACTTTCGTTTGGAAATTTAACAGTAGGGTTTAATTGCCCATTGCTTATAAGAGTGGCATAGGTCTCCGAGGTTTTAGTTGTAGAAAGTTGAGTGTTTGCGTGTAAACATAAAAGTGTTGAAGTTGTTCGGCAGAGTATAAAGTATTGACGGTTATTAACTGAAGTTGTTATCACATATTGTTGTACAGCTATTAAATAAGCAGCTCAAGGAGTCTTATAAAGAGAACAAACAAACTAACGGAGCTTTTGATCAGCCGTAAAAGCAAATAAAGAAGGGACTTTAGAAAGACATTTGCTGCTTTCTAAATGACCACGATTTATTGTGACTTACAGCTTTATAGGTACAAGTAAGCAGGAATTGTTAAATAAATTAAGCACCTCTTACTGTATTTTTATTAAATAAAATTAATTGTTGATAAACTTTTAAAAATAAAAATAAAAACATTATCTTTATTTTCTTTGTTTAAAGCAACAAGTATAGTTAGTACTATGGTAAAAGGTAACAATTGTGGAGCTTTGGTAAAAAATCACGTTTATTTACTTTAATGAGCAAGCAAGCAAGATTAGGTTAACTAATGACGATCAGTAACGTGATTTGTTTTAGCGAGTAAGCAAAGGTTTGGACTAACATTGGTTAACTAGTGGATGTTAATGAAACATCATCAAAGGTTGATTGGAAATATTGGTAATTGTAAATGCAAGGCTGTTGAACAAGCTACTTAAGTTGTTTTGCAAGTAAACCAAAGTGAGGTTGCAATTGGCCAATGAATGTAAACGAATAAATCAATTACAAATGAATAAAAAGGACTTTATAGAAGCCCTTGAGTCCATCTTTATTTATTTACAATTTATCTGGTACCATTAAGTGTGCTCACGGATTTATCTAAGTGCAAGAAAAAGTGAACCAAAGCAAGTTTGTAAACTAATTAATTGACAAGCACTGAATTATTTGCAAATAACTGACAAGAGTGGTCAAAAGGTTGAAATGATAACAAGAATCAAAAAGTTTATTATTCAAAACATTATTATAATTTAGCTTTAAGAATAAAATAAAGATAAAATAAAAAGACAAATAATAATTTATAGTGGAGATTAAATTAGTCTTTCTTTTAATTATTAGAATTTAATGTAAATAAAAAATATTGTTAATGATGATTAATGGATAGTAAGTTCCAATTAATTAATTAATAATGAAAATTTTATTCACCTTCAGCATTTAAGAGAAAAGAGCTAAAATCAAGATTGTTTAATGAACTATCATTACTTGTATAGATTTTCAAGCTTTTTGATTTAGCAATCTCTTCATCCAAGATTCTACTTTTATGATATGCATCTGGGTGTGATTTATGTGCTTGTTGCGAATCACTACTACCACTGCTAGTAGTATTATTAATGATATTATTATCATTATTTTTAAAAATTTCCATACGTTTGTTTTCAGCAAAAACATAAAGCTCTCTACTAGTTGGTCTTTTTGATGGATCTTCATCCCAACACCTCTGCATCATTTGTGCATAATCCCCAGGAATTCCAGGCAGTATTGGTGGTCGTAAACCTTTTGCACATATATCAAAAATCAAACGATGATTGTGAGCCCTATCATCAAATGGTGGGTGACCTGCAAATATTTCCCACATTAACATCCCAACACTATAGATATCTGATTCTTTGGTGTTCTTTGTATTAATTTTGCCTCTAAGTAGTTCGGGTGCAACATATGATACAATTCCATAGACTTTATTTGATGATTTTTCATCAACTGGTCCACATAATCCCAAATCTGTAATAAAACATTTACCTCCTTGCACAAGTATATTACCACTATGTAAATCACAATGGATTAAATCTTTTTCATGTATATCATCTAATGCATAACATAAATAATAAAATATTGTAATTCTGTCTTTTAATGTTAAATTTAAATGATTTTTTTGTAAATAATCCCTTAAATTTCCATCTGGAACATAATTTATAACAATTGCATAATTCCCATTATCTGGGAATTTGGTTATACCATAGCAAGGAACAATCAGTGGTGTTTTAATTTTACAATAATTCACTGGCTGAAAATAAATAAAATCAATTAGTATTATATAATACAGCATTGTTTATTTTGTTTTAAATGATAACTACCAACCTCATCAAAAAATTTTTTTCCTGGATTACTTGAATCATTTAAACTTTTCAATACAACTCTCAACCCTCCAAAATAACTAAATTCCTTTTTATTTTCATCATAATCAACTATTCTTCCTCTTGTCCATCTAGCAGTATAAATCAAACCAAATCCACCTTCTGTCAACTTTGTTACTTCTTTAAATTGCTCAAAAGGTATCCATTCTAAAATATACTGTGGTAGAGAAGACTTCATTTGAGATTGTTGAATAAAGTTGTCAATTATGTTATTTCCAGATGTCCAAGTAGTGAAAAGACTCTGCAATTGTAAACTAATACAACCTTCACAGAACCTATCAGAGTATCTTGTCAATTTACACTTGTTACATTCTTTTGGTTTGCCTTTTTTATTCACTGCATTATCTAATTCAAAGTCATAAATATACTTTTCTCTACAAAATTCTTTTTCAATTTCAGAAAGCTCCTTGTTTTTCTTGACTAATGAAAAAAAATAATCTTTTCTACTTTCTTCATCAGAATTATTAATATTAGCATTACTATACATTCCATTATCAATTTTATAAACAAATTCCTTTCTTTCTAGTGATAACGATGATAATAATTTAGCATATGACATTATATAAAGATATAGAATATAAAATTCAACTTGATGTGTGAAGATTTTTTGCGGAGAATTGAGCGACGTGTAACAAAATTTTTTCGTGCAACGTTTTATATTCGGTTGCATTTAAACAGACAGATTAATTGATAAGGATGTAAATTGAAAAAGGAGAATTACATTATTTAAACTTCTTCATCACCAAACTCTAGCGATTGATTTATCGTGATTCAATAATGAAAGAAAT